ACACACACGCGCACACACACACACACACACGCACACACGCACGCACGCTCACACAAACACACACACGCGCACATACACACACACGCACGCACACACGCACGCACGCACACACACACATACGCACGCATGCACGCACGCACGCGCGCGCACGCACGCACGCACGCACGCACGCACACACGCACACACACGCACGCACGCACTCACTCACGCACACACGCACACACGCAAACAAACACTGAAGCTTCTCGCTCTGCTAGTTTTGCCACCTCTCTCTCTCTCTGCCGTGTTCGCGGAGACCGCATGCAAGGCATTATTACATAACACGCGCACACGGGGGAGGACCATGCACGGAGCAGCATCAGCAACGACCAGCATCCGTCGTCGGCTAGGATGAGCATCGCGTGGTGTTGCAAGCTGCGCGCGGGACCTAACAGCAAGCGATTGGTAGTCGTGCTCGTCTCCACGACGACGTTTCTTGGAATACTGCTGTTGAATTCGAAGAGTACTCCATCGGTAAGCAGCTGCATGTTAACTCATGATAATCATCAAGATGCGAATCTTTAATAAGTGTCTTCAAACTCCGAAGGACTTTGAAAGCACCGGAGACGAAGAGAGACAAAGTTAATCGAAATGATAGATCTACACTGCGGATTGCAGTATGATGAGAGAAGTATATATATATATATATATATATATATATATATATATATATATATATATCTATAGGTTTGGTCCGAGCTTAGGGCTATGCCTGCAGCGCGCCTGCTGACCGCCACCAGTTTGATACCATAGTCAAATTTCCAAGGTCTTTACGGTGGTGTGGTATAGGGTTAGTGGGCTCATACAGTGATCAGTTCCAATTGTCTTTTCATTAGCGACAACGATATCGATGTTGGTCGCTCGCACTCTAACTACGCATCGCCGACGTCCGTCGTCGCCAACGCGTCGTCGTCGCGCACGAGCAGCAGCGTGCCGACGTGGCAGCGACTGGAGCAGCTCTACTCTCACTCGTCCAAACTACTGGACGTCGACAACTCTCAGATATTCACGCACGACGAGCTATTCGCGCCGACGCGTCTAACTAGCGCCGACGTCGATGCCGACGGATACGTCGTCCCCAACATCGTCCACTACGTGCGCTTCGGTCGCGCCGACGTCACGTTCGTCGAGATGCTGTGCATGCGCTCGGCGTGGCAGAACATCCGCCCGAAGCGCCTGCTCGTACACTGCGACTTCGCGCCGACCGGTCACTGGTGGGACGAGGTGCGTCGGTGTAACATCTGTTTTGAACGTGTTACATGAATTAGTCAGCGAGGCTAGACTAGGGGTTTTTGTAGTAATAGTCTGGGTAGATGGAGCGTCGCGCATCTTGTT